CCCACTCCAGTGGGGGGGAAAGGGGGCCACGGAGCCGCCGCGGCTCCTGCCCCGGCAGGACAGGGCGAGAGATCCCACGTCGGCAGCTCCACCACACCGCTTCCCTCTCCCCATCGCTTGCAAAGCATGAAAATTTCCCAGCCCAGGCCAAGAAAACCCACTTGCCTACTCACACGGTGCTAACAATGAAAACACTAATTATATTTCACTCACCTATCAAAGGGATGATTCATTTAGGTGAGTGGGCACAGAGGATTACACAAGATGAACACCGTGATGCGACCGCCCGTCCGTTTTGGGGTAACCCTCCTGAGAAACAAGGCTGTGCGGAGCACGTGGGTACCCGGGATGGGGTGAGGGGTGGCAGCAGGAGGGACCCGGCACAGCCCCAATGCACCGCGGACACCTCCTGTCCGGGGAACGGCGGCGAGCGGAGGGCTGGCCGGGCAGCAGGGACCCGAGAGAGGGGCTGGACCCTCCTCGTGCCCCTGTCCGGTCTCGGATCCCAAATGCTCAGCTGGGGAGAGGTGGAGGGAGGAGAAAAACAGCTTTGGCAGGGATGGAAAGGGCAAAAGGAGGTTTGGGGCTTCCTTCATCCACCCTGTCTTATTCACCCCCACAACCACGGTTTCAGCAGCAAAACCCAAACCCAACACACAGCCCTAGGATTCCCATGGCAAGCCTGCAGTTACAACTCAGACTGTCCCCAGGGTAAAACCACTGAGTATTTCCAAGGCACCCGTGGAGTTACAGAAAGGCAGGAACCAGCTGAGATGTCTCCCGATCTCCAGACCTGCTCGGGTGAGGGTCTCCAATGGGAGGAGGTCTCCAGCCCTCTGCTCTGGAGAGGTTCCGCCAGCTCCAGCAAGGGTGATGGCAGCGGCTTCGGTTCACATCGGTGCCGATCCAGGTGGATGCAGCCCCTTTCACCCAAAGCAAGGGAGCAATCCTGCTCCCCCTCTGGAGCTGGGCTGAATCAGGCCCAGCAAACGAGCGGTGCAACTCCAGCATCCGACTGAAGCGATCCTCAGAAGCCTGGTTTATGTAATATCAGGGTGCTTCTGGATGGGGGCAGGAGGTGGTAGGGATTTTTGGCAAAAAGATGAGGACATGTCAGCAGTATCACGGTTTGGGGGGGTCCGAGTGAGTGCATGTGTGCAGGGGAAAGACAGGACGGTGCACACGTGTGCCGCAGGTGCAGGACTGTGGGTTGGGCGCGCAGCGGTGCTAGGGAGATTTGGCAAAGTGTGGGCTCCTAGGAGAACAGCGAGGCTGTATTTGCTTACGTGGGTTCTGTGCAAGAGGTTTGCATTGATGGACACGTATCCGCACGGCTCAGGGAACGCGGTTTGCATTCATCCGGCGCGTGCATGGGCCAAGAGAGCGCTGGCGCCGGGCTGGGGGCAGACCACGTGCGTGTGGGTATGCAAGCGGAGGGGCGAAGCGGCGTCTCGGCGTGGGGAGGAGAGGCGTGTGTGCATGGCGATGAGTGTGTCCGCGTGGGAGGTGCGAGATCTGCAAGCTGCATGTGGGGGAAGCGTGCATGCGTGCGTGCGTGGCAGGCGTGAGCACCCGGCGTGGGGGGGACGGTACCTGGGGCGGCGAGCAGAGCCAGGACGGCCAGCAGGGCAGTGGCAACACAGCTGAGGCCACTGCATGCCATACCCCACGCCCGAGCCCAACGCGTCAACACGTGTGCATCAGCCACGCAAAATATCGCTCCCCAAGATAGCGCCGGTGGAGTGTCGAGATTTGCCCTTCCCCGCTCTTGTGCAAGGAAATGGTAAAATTGGAGCGAAACCCATGAATTCTGGGGCGCCTCGCTTCCTGAGCCTCGCTGCGCATTTAGGGACCCATCCCCTAGCCCTGGTACATGTGCTAAAAAAAAATATGCAAGGGATGAATATTTATCTGTGGGTGGCAAGTGACAGATGCTGGGGCGAGGATTCTAGGATACTTCAGTTTGATGAAGGTAATAACTTGAATAGATTAATGAGAAACATCCTTCCCAACAGTTGCCTCCCCTGTGCAATAGCTACGCAGCCACCCTTCCAGCAGAGCTCCTGCACACACCAGCTCCTTGCATCCAAACGCACAAAGTTCAGTAAGGTTCGGCGTCCAAAAGGCTGGAGATGCCCAACTTTTCTGTTTTCCACCCAGAATGGAGACAGGCAACTGGGAAAGGGCCGTGGCCTCTGGGTGCTTCCAAGCGAGCTGGTGAAAGTGCAATTTCAGCTGCGTTCAGTCACTCCGTGGTGACTGCCCAACCGAAATGGGGGGAAAGCTGGCGTGGAAGAGCCCGGTTGGGGCGTGCGTGGCCCGTCCCTGCTCCCGGCAGCAGGGTGGGCTTGGCCACGGGTCCCATGGCTCCGCATTTCCCCAGCATGGCCGCCCCCTCCTCCTCGGACGGTTTGCAGAGTCCCTGGGGGGGAGCATCGTGCTACGGACCCTGCCCTTGTCTCCTCCTCATCCTCTGACCTCCTCCTAAAATGATAAACGTGCAACATAGCTTTTCGATCCCCAAACGCCGAGAAGCCAGGCTGGCCTGACAAGATGGAAGAAAAAGCTCTTTGCTTCTGGTAGGTTCTCAGAAACGGTGAAACTGCTGGCAAGCCACCCCAATTTGGAGATGCTCCCCAGGTTTCCCAAAAAGCCGCCGCGCTGCAGTCGACGGGGAGCGTGCCGGGGTGGGGGCACGCGTGTGCCCGGGGACAGGGCCAGCCCTGCAACACCCAGCCCTCGGAGACCTGTAGTTTATCGAGACTTGTGCCTGCCTTCCCGCAAGCCTCCCCGGCAGGGGCTGGGTGCCAGGAGGGGCGCGGGGCGACGGCACTTGCCTTGGGAGCACGCAGAAACCCCCCCCCATCCCCTCCTGACTGCTTTGAAGGTGGGAGATCGCGATTATTCTCTGACCAAGCTTTATTCTCGACTGAAGGACTGCTGGGATTTATCGACGGCTTGCAAACACGCACTCGGCAGATTCCAGCTCAGACCCCAGCATTATTCCAGGCAGCTGAAACAAAAGGTTGCAGCTATATTTTCCTTTAGGAGAAAAGCCACCAGCACCAAATTATCATTAAAAAATCAAGAGATCGTTCCACCTCGCCCTTCGAGAGCATAAAAGAGCAGCTGCAGGTAACGTTTAATCTTGCCTCCCTGTATAATCACGAAGCAGCAAACTGGGTTTTCTAGAGAAAGGTCTTGCAGCACCTTTCAGGAACGCTGCGATGGAGCTCATCAACGCTGCAATTTCCTTAACACAGCAGTCCTGGAAAACGATAACATCTTAAAAAAACCCAAACAACCAAAACCATAAGCCTGCTTTAGATGGACACGTTTGCCAGCAAAACAACGGGGCAGCACTGCCGAATGCCCCCGGCTACCGGCAGGTAGGCCTGCCTCGTATTATGGTGGCAATTTAGATGGAAGTAGGCACAGACCATGAGAGAGGATGATACAGCCACTTACAGCACAGCACCAGCTGTTTCTCCTAGTTCGGCCTTAAAGCTTGTTAGTCCAGCAATTTTTTTTTGAGCGCTCCGATTGGGTTTTCTTGTTTTTTATTCAATCCTAGTTTCTCCTCAACATCTCGTTAAGCCGTGTTGACGGCAGAGAACAGCTTTGGTGATCCCTCTGAGCCCCTACGCTAAGCATTAAGCTGTAAACTAGGAATGTAAGACTCTTTTCTGAATTAAAGTCTTTCGCCTGGTATTATGAAGCGCGGGGCTGCGTTTGGAGGGGCTGCAGGGCATGCAAAGACCCCAGCCCCTCGCTGGCAGCATTTGCAGCACCAGAGCTGCACCCATCTGCCCTGGATCCCCCCCTGCACGTCCACCTCCCCTCTGCCCCGGGTCGCTTCGATGCAAATCCTACAGGTTCCAGTGGTGCAGAACTGCAAATCCCACGTGCAACTCGGGTCGTCTCCCGATGGCGTGGCCCACCCTGTCCTCCGACCCGCCCTAGGCGAGAGCTGGGCGTCCCCCCCCCAGCGCAGCCGGCTCCCCTCCCCAAAAAGCCTGGTCGAGGAGAGTGATGGGGGGAGAACCCGGCACCCAGAGACCCGCTGAACATATGGGGCTACCTGTGGCAAAGAGCTGGGCTGATGGCATGCCGGGCTGGTTCCTTATCTCCTGCGGGGTCCGAGCATCCCTCGCTCCAAGCTAGCAGGTTGCAAACTCACAGACTCCAGCCTAAAAACCAGGGTCCCTGCTCGGAGGCTTGTACCCCCACGCCACCGCCCGCCCTGGCCCGGAAGGTATCAATGCAGCACCTACCTCCATCCGAGTAGGTCTCTGTCCCGTAGCCATCCTGTAATCCATTGCTCCAGGTGCCTTCGTACTTGGCCCCATTTCCAGTGCATTCTCGGACCCCGTACCGTCCCTTAAATCCGTGGGTCCACTCTCCTTTGTACACCCACTTCCCCTTGCTCTCCATGCCAATGCCATGGCGCTTGCCCTGCGCCCAGGTGCCCTGGTAAGTGTTGCCGCTGGGCCAAGTGTAGACCCCCAGCACCTCAAAGCCGTGACTCCAGGAGCCCGAATATTCACCTTGACCCTTTGGGCCGGTACAGATTCCGTGGCCATGAGCCTTTCCGTCCTCCCAGCCTCCACAGTACGACCCTCCATCGTCAAAATTAAACCTTCCCCCACTGGACATGCATGTAATTCGGTTTGCAAATCCCCCAAAAGGTGAAAAAAAAAAAAAAAAAAGAAATGCAGAAAATAAAATGCGAACGATGACTTGGGGAAAAAATACAAAATTAAAAAAAAAATCAAATCAAATCAAACTCAATCGCAATCATGCACCAAATCCAGGGAGCTGCTTAAGCCAGTTTCTTGTGATTATTCATTCTCTGGGAGTATGTTCAGGACCAGTTCTCTCTTCCCCTGCTGTGGAAACAGTATCAGTGAAAAAAAAAAAAAAAAAAAAAAAAAAAAAAGGAGAAGAATGTGCTGTATTTGTGATTATTATCATGACAATGATTCAGCATTCAGATGTTTTTGGTGGTATCAAAGAGGGGATGGAAGCAGGTGAGGAGACCTCCCTGAGCGCAGCTGCTGCTCCTGCTTCTGCACATCTATCCCATTTCCTCCACGAGAAAGGAGGCTTGGGAAGTAGATTTAAAAACCTGACATACAAAATGTATCCTGCATCATGGTGTGCTGTGGAAAATGATCATCAGTAGAATTATACATGCTGTATTGCCTGCTGAATCCCCCAAAGCAGCTAAAGAGCCAGGAGAATATGAGACTGTCATTACTCCGTCTCCCTCCCTCTGCTTTGGAGCATAAACCTCTGCCAGACACTCAGGCAGAACAAAACACTTAATCAGTGTTAAGGATGCATCTGGTCCCCCCAGAGAGATGAGCTGTTCATTTATGCTTGTTTACAATATGTTTATAAACATTAGTGGACAGGGATAGATTACCCCAGTTTACTGCCACATAAAGGAGTCAGCTGCTTACGTTTCCTATCATGTCTATGTGCTTTTCTTTTATATTACTCAAGTGGTACCTTATGGCAAGTAATCTTTGTGAATTAGTCCAGAAATCAGGAGTGTCCCTGCAGAATTTATACTGTTTTCCCTGTCATTATCTCAAAAGTATTACTTTTGGATCAAATCCTTATCCAAGATGCCTATTTTTCCTTGCCATCTACATTGCCTTACTTCTTTTTCCCTTTGGTCCATGAAGGAATGACATCGTTTTTATGCTCTAGATGAAAAGCATATTGTTTGGACAGAAATGGGAAAGGTGGTGTTGGGATGACAGCCCCCCACATGTCAACTGTTCATACCCAACCAAAGAAAGCAGTCTTTGTAAAGGAATTTTTACTTTTATTGTTCTTATTTTAAAAACAGGTTATCCATGCATGTTCCCTCTGAATTACGAGTTATGACCCATTTGCAGGTGGGTGGGTGGGTGCGTGGGGGGACACGATGGGAAAGGGCCAAACGCCTCGCTCGGCGCCACCAACGCCAAGTCTCCGGGCAGACTTTGCTCCGTGCCGGGTCCAGCACACTGCAACTGCAACGCAAATTATTTATTCATGAAAAGGCCGTGCTGCCGCTGGGGGTTTATGGCAGCGGTCCGGGCTGTATCCCCTCCCGGCTGGGCTGCTGCGCACCTCGGTCCCCTCCCCTCGACACACAGCATCTCATCCAGATCCTGCCTATCCAGCGGGAAGGTGCAAAACAGCAGGAGGCCCTCGCCAGTCCTGTCCACAGATGATTTTTTTTCCCTGGGATGGCTGAAGATGTGAAATCCTCCCCAGGCAGTGGCGACAGCTCGCTGGGGTCCTGGTCCAGCGATGCATCCCCTTGTTTAGAAACCAGCGTGCCAAATATTTGCAGCATCGGGGGGGTCCGGGCGGGTCTGTGCGCATGCATATATATATATATATGTATTAAAGGGGGAGCTCTGTTGAACAAAAATTAAAAAGCTGTTCACAAGCGCCTATAAAGCAAAATCCGTGCAATGTATAGAAAACACGGTTCCTCCCAAAAACCTCCGGTAGGACTGCCAGGCGCACCGGCTCGCCTTTGCATCCTGCCATCGCCGCCGGCGTTACTGGAGTGCTCGTTTTGAGCCAAGATGATCGACTCGGATTCGAGACCCAGCTCGGCCAGGACTCCAAGGAAAAAAAAATGAGCTGTAGAAACCCTGGCGATGGAAACCTGGGCGATTCAGGCAGGTGCATCCCCCGGGAGGGACGGTTACGCTCGGTACCTGCCCCAGTTGCCCACCCAGTAGGAAGTTTCTGCCTGCGTCTTTTTTTCTATATCGAAGCATTTTCTTGTCCATCCATTGAAACGCAGAACCACCCTCGCCTGGAAGAAAACCTTCCTCTCTTTCAGAGCTGGAGGGAAGAGATACAACCAGAGTGGGTGGAAATTTTCCCACTGAAGCATTTTTTTCAGTGGAAAATGTCTTTTCAAACTACACCGAGCCCTTTGTGAATGCGAGAACATTATACATTGGGGGTTTTGTTGTTTTTTCTAAAAATCCCACGCTTCAGGTACCGCACTTTTTGGCAACTGCAAACTCCCGTTTTTTTCATGGAGAGAGACTTTGGGTGGAAACCCCCAAACTTTCCAAGAAAAACACGACAACTGAAGTTGCTTCAAGGCATATAAAATTTTTGGCAGAGAAAAAAAGAAATTCCAGCCCCCTTCTGTTGTTTCCTCAGTAGTTTTACATGGTTATAGTGGCTTCACATGTTAATTGGCATGGTAATTAACGGCCAGCTATTCCTTCTGTGGCGTTAAATGGGGTATAGAGACCAGAGGCTGATGCCTGCGCACGCACCAAGGTGCGATACGCCTCTGACCAACGCGGGATGCCGCTCTTAATAAAACAGGTATTTAAAATAACGGCATGTTTAATGGTACCGCGTGAAAAAGAAATCACTAATAACAGTGAAAAAGAAATCACTAATAACAATCCGCTGAGGAAGCAGAGAGAAGAATGAGATTTACTAGGGACAAGTGGTAGCGCAGGGCTACCAGGACGGTGCGTGGTTTTAAAATGAGTATTATTTTAGGAACGGCACCTTTGTGGCTGACGAGGGGGCAGTTCCTACACTAAAAACGCAGCCACGTGTTACATCTTCTGTTCATGACCTGATTTAGGTTTCGTGGTGTGCCCGTAGCCTGCCTTGCTGCCCTGTGGCTGGAGTGGAGGGCTGGGTCAGAAAGGACCATCTTGGTTATTAAAGGGTTTAAGATGGGCTTCAGGAGGCTCTGAAAATTGCCAAAAGCCATGTTGGCAGCCGAACAAAGATTGCGGGAATACCAGGTGAAGGGGCTGGATGGACGACTACAGATGCCAGGGTGATCGTGGCGTGGTGGCCGACTGCGACACAGCCACGCTGCTGTCCCTGAGCCTATTCCCAAATAAATCTGGTTTTCCCAGACTTTATTCAAAGGTCCGGATTTGTTTAAAATAAAACCTCACGCCCCAATCATCTGCAGTCCTGCCTGCCTTGGGGAGTCCTTTCCACACCAGTTCACATTGCCTTGGTGCTGCTGATATGCAGGAGGCTGAGGCAGAGGAAATTCCAGATGGGATTTCCCTCCAGCCCCAGATTACCAGCAGGTTTTTTCCCTCTGGAAGATGCTTTTGCTGCCGGTGAGTGCCAGGTTGACCTCCGCAGATGCTGCCATGCCGGGGCCGGAGCTGGGCTGCCCTCAAACCGCAGCGGGATTTCTCCAGTACGTTTGGCTAACTCTGGAGACATTTCCCCAAGGGGTACAGACAGCGGTAGATAGGGCTGTCAGGGTTTTTTTTTTATAGTTTGGTGCAGGTGTGGATGAGGAGAGTGAGACGATGTTTGGGATAAAAGAATAATGATGACAAAATACAATAAAAAGCAAATCAGCTTATGGTAAGTAACTGAGCATGAAGGGGGGAAGACAAAATAGCACTGGGCAGCGGGAGCGATGCAAAATATAGTGAATAAAATTAGCACCTGCCTATTGCTGGTGTGCCTTGCAGATAAAAATGCTGGTGGAAAGGCACAGATCTCCAGTGGATCCCATCCCGCCCTCGTGTGCAGAAACCTGCCTGGCCCTGCAAAGAGCAGGGCACAGCCCAAGGGAGCAGCTCAGGGAGGGATGGGGATGCAGGCAGGCAACGGGTTTTCATGTACAACGTGGTTCCGAAAGACGAGTGCAGGGCACCGGGGAGACCCGGCCTTTGCAGAAAACCTGCTGGGAAGTTTGGCTATGCTTAAGAAAGAAAAAAACCTGCCACAGAGCAAAGGGAGAGAGAGGATTAGCTGGAGGAATCCATGCTGCTACCGCATCCTCAGCATGAGAACGGCGGGATGTATCTCTAAAAGTCCAGCTGCCCAGAAAAACATCTCCGGCATCCCAGGAAGGCGGGTAGCTTTTCTGGGGTGGAATTTGATCCTGTGAAACACAACAGAGGATGGGGAGAGGAGGAGGAGGGACGTCGTGCTGGCCTCCCCGAGCCCAGCCGCGAGGTGCGATTCGAAGGCTTCTCAACTCAGTGGGCCGCCGTCCACGGGGGAGGATGTTTTTTTGGCACTAGCAGCAGGGCTTCGCAGGACCTCACAAATTGCAGGCAGCTCCTGGGGATGCCCAAATGATGCTGAAGGGGAAACACATCAAAGTGATCTTAAAAAAATTGCCCGTTTCA